TTGGACAGTACTCGTAGTTGTAATACTAACAACCAATCTTTCTAAGGAAGATCAGTACTATATTGTATTAATTATCGTATGAGAAAATCTCATAAATAGAATAGTTTGAATGATAAAATTCAACATGAAGCAATGATTTTTATGATAAGTTTAATTTCTTTTGCAGCTGTCCGATTTTAAAGATGAAAATACTACAATTCACTGTTAATCTTCACAGATGAGCATTCCAAACCTTAAGTAGCCCATTTTGTAGTAGTATTAACTTGGGCCTGAACAAAGCTGAGATGCTTTCTTACAGGTACCAAAAAGACACTATTTATCAATAATTCGCCATTTTAGTTATAATATCAAAAATAGCCAAAAAAGTACCAATGATATACAACATTCAAAAAATATAGGCATAAAAATATTTTTTTTTCAATGGATATTGTTGCAATTCGTTGAAAACATATAGATGAAACAATATAAAAAATTTGAGAAAATTTAAAGGTGAATTAGACTAGTTTGGAGTCAGAATTCATTATCAATGATATACAATAGTAAAACAATTTAGGCAAAAAGGGATTTGTTTCAATGGGTATGGTTGAAATTCATTGAAAATAAATAAATTAGGCAATATATAAGATTCGAGCAAGATTGGAGGTGATTTGAACTGGTTTGGTATCAAAATTCGTAGTTAAAATTGTGTTTACAAATTCTTTTGTGACACATGTATCACGTGTGTATCTCACACACAGGCAGTGGCAGATCCAAAATTTTATACAAGCGGGTTCAATCAAAAATCACGGTTAGTCAATTGTATAAGTGCAGCGGTAGAGGAAATTTGTGCACTGCTCTTTTTTGTTCATCCGATCACTTCAAAATGAAGACATTTGTTTTTTAAAAAAAGGTAGGGGAAATTTTAAAAAAATAACAAAGAAACTTTTGCCCTTTAATTTTTTAAAAAAATTATCTATATAAATTAACAAATTTTATTTCAAAAATTTAGCCAACGAATATTTAACCTACTTACAAATCGTACTATAACTCTAAGAAATTTAACATACAAAGTTGTTAATTACAAAAGACACGGAAAAAGAAAAGTTATAAAATAAACTAATTTATACAAATTGTTAAAGAAAAAGATATTTTACACCAAACTAAACTTTTGAGTATAACACAAATTAACAATTTCAATATAAACTAAACTAAATTAAAAAAATACAAGTAATTTCGATAAAGCACCAAAATAAAAATTCGCTTTGTAGAAAAGATTACATGTTTTTGAAGTAAAATAAAGGAGTTTAATAAGAATAGATGTTATTGGATTTCAATAAAGAAAAAAATCATAAAGAAAAGCAAGAAAACAAAGACAAAATAGGAAACATCAAGGCCTAACAGCACACACCAACACCAATAACCCAGTATAATCTCACTAGTGGGGTCTGGGGAGGATAGTGTGTACGCAGACCTTACTCATACCCTGGGGTAGAGAGGCTGTTTTTGATAGACCCTCGGCTCCCCCCTCCAAGAAATCCCTACCTTGCTCTTGGGGTGACTCGAACTCACAATCTCTTGATTAGAATAATATATACGTTTAGGTAAAAGGCCACAGTTAATTCGCTGCTTTAGCAAAGGTCCGAACTTGCAACCCTAGCCTTACTTTGAACCCACTTGCCACCGCTCTACAACTTTTGTTAGTAACAAGTGGGTTCATGTATTATAATACTTAACAGTTTCATAATTTTTTGATAAAATTTCAAGGTAAAAATAATTAATTTTTTTAACGAATCGGGTTCAACTGAACCCCCTTCCTATAAGGTGGGTCTGCCCCTGCACACAGTTATACATAGATTCACATGATATACACAATTGATACACATATGATACATATGTGATACACAAATGATACACTGTGAGATACACATATCATGTCTTTTCATATTCATCTTCTACTTCAATTTTTCAATTCAAACCACCTCAAAACTCCACAAAATCATCCCAAAACTGAGATTCAAACTCCTTAAAATGTACCTAATCTATTTCAACAATATTCACTCAAAAAAGCACAAATTTGACCCTTTTTGGCTACAAATATCTAATTGACTAACATGGATAGAATTTTATATTGGTAATATTTTATGAATTGATCAATTTTTATATAATTGGCTTATGGGCAGACTTTTTTGGGTAAGTTACATATGTAGCCGTCGGGCACTAACTTAAGACAACCGCTTAGCCCATTAATTTTGATTACAAGTTATAGACAAAGCATATTACATTTGCTAAAAATAAAAAAAGCCCAGACCCAGCTCACATCTTGCTTGTCTCTCCCTCTTACTGCTTAGTGCTTCCCATACTCCTCGGCAAATATTACATGCGGAAATGATACCAGGTAGTCACTTTTAAGCCTGTTATTTAAAATATATCCACAATATATTTAAAGATTAGCCAATTTCGTTCAAACATCAGGACACAACATCCTAGAATTTTAAACCTCAAAGTTCAAACGTCAGGACATCGTGTCCTAAAATTCAAAAATTATGTCCAGAAGTTCGAATCTTATGTCCTGAATTTTAAATGAATAGTTCAGAAATTCAGGACACTAGTCCTGAATTTCAAATTAGCAACTCAAAAATTTAGAATACTAAGTCCTGAATTTTCAAATTCAGGACACTTAGTCCTGGAGTTTGGGTGAATTGACTAATCTTTAAATATATTATAAATTATGAATATATTTTAAATAACAAGCTTAAAAGTGGCTATTGCTGCACTTCGCCCATATTACGCATGTTTGGGCCAAAAATTATCTTAGTTATGTTTAGACTATATCAGCATTAAGAGGGCCTTCGAGGGGTGCCACGTGTCACCAGTACGACTTCAACAAAAGACATATTCAAGGTCGAAGTGATCTAACAAGAGATGAAGGGCTGGGTTGAGGAATCAACAGAGATCAAGATCGAGGACGAGCACTCTTCTTAAACAGAGTAATAACGGCTAGTTTTAGGATAAGACTTTAAAGAGAATATTCACTAATATTCTCTAGATCATTACTGTTAGGGTTTTGTGGCACATGTCCCCTTATATATAGAAAGAGACATAGTTATAGGGGACATGGAACACTCATTTGTAAGACAACACATTGACATTCTCTGAAGATTCTTACTTTATTATACACATACAAAATATATATTTTTCTTAAGATCCTTGTCTAACTTTTCTCCCACAATCCAAGGAGAATCCGAATATTCGAAGGCTCATCAATCATTCATCATTCTCAGAAAGAATACTAAAGAATCTTACCCTTTTCGGGTGACTCACATGCTTTTATTTACTTAAATGTCATCCATTGCTATTTATTGTTATTTAATGCTACCTCCTTCATTTTTGGATCATTGAATATAACAATGTTGTCACCATTTATTGCTACTTAGATAATACCTGTATCATCTTGCTACAAAATCGGTTAATATATCTTTTGACTAAGATTAAGGGCCCGTTTGAATTGGCTTAAAAAAAGTGGCTTTTAAGTTAAGTACTTTAAAGTACTTTATAAGTGCTGGAACTTATTTTATAAATAAGCAGTTACGTGTTTGGATAAAAGTGCTGAAACTTAAAACAAGCTGATGAAGTGTTTGGTAAACAAGTGCTGGTAAGCACTTTTTCTTGTTAAAATGACTGAAATATCCTTAAAGTTGTTAAAATTATAAAGAAGATGATGACCATAATATTATATTTTCCGTTCATAGCTTCAAATTCAGGGGTAACACGTAAATTCATTGAATAATTTGATTTTAGAATATAGTTACACCAATTAAAAAAAAAAAGGAAGGATTCAACGACTAAAAAAATTAAATGTTATGGAACCAAAAAAAGAAGCCAAAAGAACAATATTTACAAAATATTGGAATGTATCAAACATTATTTAAAAAACTATTGTTTGCTTCACGTTAAGAACTTCAAAAAATTGACAAATATTGGAGAATGGAAAAAAAAATAGTATGTTGTAGGGTTTTTACTTAAGGGTAATTTCGGGATTAAGAAAAATTATAAGGGATAAGAATGTAATATCTTTGGTCAAAGCAATATGGCTTTTAAAGCCAAGTTAGAAAAAGTTGGGTTTGCCAACTTATTGGTTTTGGCTTTTTTTAAAGCAGATTTTAACTTTTTTTAAGCCTATTTTTTTGTTGCCAAACACTTCCACAAGTTAAAAACGGCTCTAACTCTATTTTATCAGAAAATCTAAGTGTTTAAACCTATATCTAAAACAGTTTGGCACCGTCTGTGTTGATTTCTTAGCTAATCTTTTTGTTTTCATTAGATCTACAACTCACGGGATTTGCTAACCTAATGAGCCACAAAGTTTTTCTCCTTCTCTGCACGTATAGAAATTTCCATGGCAGGTAACCAAGGAAACAGAACTAGGGCGACATGTGACGTCCCCAGCAGCCTCATGAACGCTACCAACGAGAGTTATGAAACACTGGGCGATGATGTGACACCCATTGCTTCCCTCAGGCGCGAGAGGTCGCCTCCCCCTCATTGTAGCACAACGAAACCAAATGGGAAAGGGGCTTTCACGTCTACGGGAGAAGAGACGCCACCTGCCATGAAATACTATTGGTTCAAATATACCCATTTATGTTAACACTACAAGAAAGGAGGTTTTCAGTGGCGACTACATTTGTTGCCACGGAAATAAGGGATTTGGAGGCGACTCCCTAAAGTCGCCACAGAAAATATATAGATTTCGTGGCGACTTCTTTGTCGCTACAAAATATACGTTTTTATTAGCGACTTTACATAGGTTGCAACAAATATGTGCCACAAAAAGGCTGGAAAAAAATTCCCGCTCAAGAAAAGTTTGTCTCCAAAAGTTTTTGTGGCGATTTATATTTTGTCGCCTCTAAAAGGTCTATTGTGGGGACTTAGTCGCCACTATACGTTTATTTTGGTGAAAAACAAAAAGACTCCGGAAAAGGACAAAAAGTAAAATGAACAAAAAAGCAAATCTTACCTACGTTTTTGGGTCAGAGACTCAAAGGTACTCCTTTTCACTCTTTTAACTCATTTTCCCTCAAAAGCAACCCTAAGTATACCCAAAATTCAAGAAGTTAACAACGATTTCTTCCAAAAATTTCATTTCCGTCGAAGAACCCATGTCCTAGGCATGTTTCTCATTCTACTTGCACACCAAATTGGGTTAGTTTCTCTTTCTATTTCCTAAAATTTTGTGTTGTTTTGTGGGTTTATTGATTTTTTTTTTCTCTGTTTATTTTTTGATCCATCTCTATATATATGAATGGTTAATCGTGGGTATTTGAGTCCATATTTATTAGCGAGTTTGATTGTGTTCAAAGATGAATGTTTCGACTTTGCCAGTGGCAAAAGCTTCTACGGCTCAAGCTATGAGGCAAAAGCTTCTATTGCTTCTCTCACTTCTATGTTTACCTTATTTTCCTTTTTTCTTTATTTGGTTTCTCTGTTCCTGCTACTGCTAGGGTGTGTAGATTTTTTTTTATCATTGAATTTTGAATATTATTAATAAGTTAAAATTAAGCTAATAAAAGTAGTTTTGTGTAATTAAATTTTTGTCTAAACCTTTTAATAGGTAGTATCTTTTATTTTTTTGTATGTAACAGCTGAAATTATTTTATTTTGTAAAGCAACTACATAATTAATAGTAGCAGTTATTGTTCCTTATATGAGATGTGGGTTGAGAGTCTTTGCATAGTTATATATGTGAACTGAAATTCTTTTTTACTAGAAGTATTTTTGCTAGTATTTGTACTCGGCCAGAATTGCATAGTTCAACACAGGGGCGGATCCAGGATTTGATGGCTACGGGTGTCACTATTTTAATGTAAAACGATCACTAGTGAAGAAGATTGAATTAGGGTGTACATTCAGTCGATTCGATCCGTTTTGGATTACTTTGGTTCGGTTCGATCCATTTTGAATTTATTCAATCCAATTTTAAAAAAAATTATGCATAAACGAATATGTGATACACCCCTTCCATCTACATGTAGCTGATTAATATTATATTATGTCTTTGATGCATCACTATAAAAAAAAATTGTAATTAATAAAATAACATTATATGGATAAAAAGAAAATGATTAGATTATATCCATCCAAATAAAATACGAACATCCAGGAAAAGACAAAGGAAGCAAATATATAATATAAATAAATAATAAAATTAGAATTGTATAAGAAAACTGAATATTTAAGATGAAAAAAATAAGAGAAATTGACAAAAGGAACATAAATAATAAAATTGGAACTGTATAAGAAAAGTGAATATTTAAGATGAAACAAATAAGAGAAATTAACAAAAAGAACATAAAAAAAATAAAGGCTAAAAGGGAACAACGAGAGCATCTGGAGTGTGGATCCCGGGTGTTGTGCATGGAATTTCAGAACTTCAACCATGGCACCTTCAGTCATTTTGTGACTTGGGGTGCCACTTGTTCCTTATGTAGGCGTTTTTGTGAAAAATACTAGTATGTATATAAAACTTTATCCGAACGACCGGGTGGCGTGCCACCCCCAATTCCTTACATAGATCCGCCCCTGGTTCAACACATGCCTATATAACTTTGTTTGTTCTGATTATTGATCACATTACACTTTTTACTTATTAATTGGTTGGATTTTTTATTGTAGAAAATAAAGATGGATAAAAGTTGGTTAAATATTAAGAATAGATGTGACATAAGGTATATTAAAGGGATGGACAGCTTTCTTGATTGGGCATACAGTCAACCAAATGTGAGTACCGTGATTCGTTGTCCTTGTAAAGGATGTAGAAATACCGTGTTCAAGGCAAGAATCCAAGTAAGAAGAGACTTGTTGGGTAAGGGCTTTTGGGAGAGTTACAAAGTGTGGGACTTGCATGGAGAAGTGTTAGTAAGAGTTGAAAATTCTAATGTTGCAAACAATAATGAAGTAGAGGATGAAAATGTTGAAGAGGATAATATTCCTGAAATGATTCATGATGTTTTTGGGTATACGAACATGGAGGATATGAATAGTCTTCCAAAGGACAGTGAAGAAAATGACATTGACATAGAGGACAATGACGTGGAGTGACCAAAAAATAGATTTCTTATGTCTTTCTGTGGTGTTTTCTTATATAACTTTTGGCTGCTCTTTTTTATGGGATTTAGATAAACAGTGGTTCTTATTTGGACATTTAAAGTGAGTCTTATGTGTAATATTTAGAACTTATTAAGTGGTTTGATTCTCTTTGCAAGAGAATAATTCTATTATTCTTTTCTATTTGGATTGTTATATCTTGCTGGTTTTGGTTCTCTTTGTAAGAGAATAATTCTATTATTCTTTTCTGTTTTGATTGATATATCTTGTTGATTTTCCTATGCAGATCCGATATTTGGCTTCTTTTTCTCAATATATTTTCACTCAATCTGAAATTTCTCTATAGTTCCTGGACTATGCATAGGTTATGCTAAAATATGAATCTTTATTCATACTTCTTATATGATGCTGCAGGAAATTAAATGACAGGAATTGGACGAGGTAGAGGTGGAAGGGATGGAAAGGGCCGTGGACGTGACAACATTGGAGGATTTCGGACACAAACGCAGCCACAAGTATCTCAGAGACAAATACTGCCACAAGTATCTCAGCGACAGTCACCGCCACAAGCATTTCAGTCGCAAATACAAGCTTCAATAGAATCTGGATCAAGTAACTCTCGCCATGGACTTCCGATTGAGTCACACTCATCACAGATTTTTGTTGAAAGTGCACATCCAACTCCGGAGATTGAAAATAGTGGCCCAGGTTAGTTCTCTATTGAAATCGAATTATGATTTCAGTTGGTATTTCAGGGAGCAATATGAAGATTTATAAAAATAATACATGTTGGCTATTACATGCTCAACATGTTGGTAACTGTTTGGCTTCCTGGAAACTAGCCTTTGAATATTCATCCATATTTATTGAGCAAAACTTCCTGAATCTAGCCTCTTATTTTCAACTACTTTATCTTCCCACTGAAACAAATATCTTACCATATGCTTTTTTGTAATGCTTAAAGTGATTCTATAAAGCAAAATAACAATGATAACAGTGAATTAACAACGGTTTATGTGGATCTTTTGCGTCACAGCTTCGTGCAACAAATCAAAGAAAGGCAGAGGAAAATATAAATCTTTACAAGTGGACATAAAAACGAAGCACGGAAGTAAAATTTCTATTGTCATTCCAGATGACATTATAAGAGCCGTGGGTCCTGGGTCTAGGGATATTGTTAACTATTGTGGCTTGATTAAGCGAAGCACTATCTCTTTTAGAGATGGTAATTAGCAGGCAATAATTGCAAAACATGGAGAAGCAATGTGATTGAAGGTTAAGGTAATAATTTACTTTCAATGTCAAATTGACTTTTGTGTCACACGTTATATTTACTTTCAATAGCTTTACATATTTATCTTAGGATAAATTTGAAGCTAGTGGTATGCGACAACATGTGTTGCAAGCTCTTGTGATCGACACTATGCAAAGGCTTTTTAGAGCATGGAAGACTCGACTGCATGCTGACTACTTCCTCTATGATACTGATGAAGAGAGATTGTCTCATAGGCCAGATGATATTACACCTGAAGATTGGGTGTCTCTGGCAGAACATTTTGGAAGTCTAGCATTCAAGGTAACTTGATAATAAAAATGCATAATAAATTACCATTTAAACGTTGGCTCTTAATGTATTTATTTAATTGCAGGCTGTGAGTGAGAGGAACAAACTAAACAGGGGGAAACAAACAACTAAGCACTCATGTGGCTCAAAGTCATTTGCCGAAGTGGAGGAATCGACGGTACAAATGCATTTACCCCTACCACTATATAATTATTTCTAATTCATTGTTGTTATTATGAGGTTATAAATGTAAACTATTTTCATTTGTTGTTATAAATCATAGAGAAATCCTGATAATAGAACAAATGCAGCACCAGATCGAGTTTGGGAACTCCAACACACTCGTAAAAATGACCGAGGAAAATAGGTGTGGTCGGATCCACAGTCACAACAAATTCATGTAATTTCTTTACATCAGTATTTTATTTTTTGCAATGTGCTTCCTATTTTATAGTGTAAACTGTTATCCATAATTGTAGGGCCTACTCCAAGAAATTGTGGCTCAACAACAATCTGAAGAAAATGAGCTTCCAATTAGTGCAGATGAGATTTTAACCACTGTACTTGGTGAACGAACTGGCTATGTTCGTGGAAAAGGATACGGAAAGAGGCCTCCAAAAAAGAGTCGTATGCAGCAATTAGACTTAGAGGCAGGTATGTCTTCTGCCATGGAAAGTATGTGCCAACAGATGCAAGCGGAAATGGATAGAAAATTGCAAGAAGAACGTGAACAAATGGCTGTTGATTTGGAAAGAAAATTAGAAGAACAAGTGGCTTCTAAGTTGCAAAGGAAACTAGAAGAGGAGCGCTCACACATGGATATAAAATTTGACAAAATGATCTAAGTGAAGGTGGATGCGATGATGATAAGAATGCAACAGGTAAACATGTATTTTTTGGGTGTTCGGATATTTACAGTGAAATAATATGGACCTTTACTCTCCCTGTTCACTTTAATGCTAAGCATCTGATGCCTTTCTCCCTCATAGTTTTGGCAATCTAAAAGTATAGGCCATTTGGTCCTTTCCCTGTTTTGGTTTATTGTTGTTATAATGCATCGAGTTAGATTTGTCGAAGTGTGGTGCCATTAGATCCTATTATTATCTATTTTTTTTTGTAAAAAGACCTCTAGATTATCAATTGCAAACAAAATATGGTGGAGTTCAATTTCCATACATGGATATGAGTGGCCAATAATATTTTTGACGTTCATAGAAGTCAGATTCTTTAGTTGTTTATGGAAGACAAGATGAGGAATGAACTTGAAATTATGTTATAGAGATTTTAGTTTCCTTGCTAGGATTTTATCAAAGGTACTATAAGTTCCCTAGCATTCTGAGTCTTTTCTTCATGAGGTGCATAGCAGATTTATCATTTTTATCTTGTTGCTTCTTCCATACAAGTATAAGTTTGTAGATGATGTGCTATGTACCAATTAGTTTCTCCCTGAGTCTAAGGGATTCCAATAAACTAAGACAGCATAATTTTCTTCTCTAGATACTTTCAAATATTTAGTCCTTACGTTTTATTTTAATATCGATGTTGGTAGTAATGAGAAAATGCAATCAATCGTTTCATTTTTCATTTGTTCATTAATAATGAGAAACTACAATTAATTAGTTATTTAGTTTTCTAATTGTCGCTATGCATGAACCTTGAACTATGTTCTGTCAAGTGAGTATCCGACCTCCCCTCTAGTACTTGACTAAGAATTTGCATTCCTTTTACATGTTGCATATACTAATGTATCTTTTTATTTTTCTTAATAGCAAGGATGAAATATTCAACAATGGGGAAATGAAGTTGCTCAAGGAGTTTTTTGAAGATGTTGCGGTACTTTGAAGATATTGGACTAGTTTACTGACTATTCTTTTTGTATATGGTAGAATACATTGGCGTATATGAAAATTGTTTATGTGATTTGTTGTTTGTACGCACAATGATAATGTATTGACTACTTTATGTTGAGTTGACCTTATAGCAATGAAAAGAATCTATTGTTCAGATTTCACAATATTAATGAATTGTATTATTGTTTGGCGTTTTAATATAAATATATGAAAAAACTGTGTATTACTTTTAGTTAAAAAAATGCTTTTCTAGTGATTAAATTTTCAAAGAAGCTTATTTGTGGCGACCTTTTGTTGACACAAAAATATCTTTTGGTGGCGATTCTCAGCTGCCATCAAAACCAAATAGCATCAGTGGCGACGCAAGTTGACACAAAAGGTGAGACTTTCTGTGACGACTAATATTGCCACTAAATTAATAATTTTCTGTGGCGACTATAGTTGCCACGAAATGCCTATACCGGCGATCTGAGTCGCCACCAATTGTAACATTCAGTGGCGATTATTTCTCAAAGTCAATATTTGGAGAGATCTTACCATACCATTTGTGGCGATATCTTATACCATTTGGAGAGATCTTACCATACCATGGTCGTCACAGATAAGTATCAACTACTTAGTATACTCAATGACCATTAGAGTCGCCGCTAAAGATCATTTGTGGCGACGTTTTGACTTTCGGTGGCGACCTTTGTCGCCACTAATAAACTCATTTCTTGTACTGTAAGTTTGTCCAAAGTGGACATCCAATCCTACGTGACACTGATATTTGATGAGGTGGATGCCACATGACATGCCACCTCAGCGCCCCTAATCCATATATAAAAGACTAAAATTTGAAATATAATTTTTTTTATGGTAATGGTAATGGTGGCAATAGTGGTGGATGGAAAGGAAATTTTAGTGGTAGAAAAAAAATAGAAGAGAGGGGCAAAATGGGTTAGGGGCGCTGAGGTGGCAAGCCATGTGACATCCACCTCATCAAATGTCAGTATCACATAGTATTGGATGTCCACTTTGGACAAACTTAACGGAAAAGGAGTATATTTGAACTCAAAGTATAATGAAGAGTATATTTAAACCTTTTATGACAGCACATGAGTATATTTTCTGTTTCTGTAATAACATAAGTTGCCAACCAAATAGAAGAATCACATTTGAGCTTCAAATTGTTTCACTTCTACATAAAAAGAGAAGTCCTCATAACCCTAAATGTTTAAAACCTTTCCCTCCCTCTAACCACTTCCCAGCGCCCCCCGCCCCCC